TTTTTTTTTTTTTTCCTATAACTGTTGATATTTTAGGTAATCATTCTATTGATGTATAAATTATAATTGTTGCACAAAATTTTTTTATTTATTTTTTTTTTCAAAATCTCACCTGAGATCTCAGATGAGAATTTGGCACTAGATCTCAGGTATGAAATCACATGGGAAATCAGATGAGATCTCAGGTGAGATTTTTCAGGAGGGATATGTAAACATATCACAATTTTGATTGCTTATCTAGTACGACAAAGATCTTTTTAATTGGCGCTCTTGTAATTACTTGATAATTTATTATTAAATAGTAGCCAGTAAGCGCCCCGTGTCATTGGGTGATAGGTGCTTGTGTTATTTAAAATTATTTATTGAACAGAGGGGCTAGTAAGCACCCCGGGTCATTGGGTGATAGGCGCTTGTGTTATTTAAAATTATTTATTTTACAGAGTGGCCAATAAGCGCCCCGGGTCATTGGGTGATAGGCACTTGGGTTATTAATAATTATTTATCTATCCGAGTTGTTAGTAAGCGCCACATGTCATTGGGTGATAGGCGCTTGTGTTATTAAAAATTATTTATTCAACAGAGTGGCCAGTANCATTATTATTTATCCCAGGAATCAAACTAGTACTTTTTATACTAAAGATATCTAAAGACCACGTTTGTTGAACGCATTATATTTCATTGTTTAGGTGGTAGTCTTATTTAAGTATTGTTTCTAGAAAATAAACACAGAAAAACATCACTGCTTTTTTTCAATTAAATGGTGTAAAACGATTTTTCAGCCATACAAAAACGATTATTGGCGATTAAATCGTTCAGAAGATATTTAAAAAAAAAAGAAAATTACTTTCCAAAGTTTCTTTTTTATAAGCTCTTCAAAATTTGTATTTAATACTTTGTTGTAGGATTTAAATTTATTTCTGTAACAGATACAAAATCTTTATGACTGTTTTTATGTTTATTTTGCATTATAAAGCGTCTGCATTAATTGCTATCAGCAGCAAAACATACAGTACTAAAAAGTTGAATTTTGACGAGAAATAGAACTCTGTCTGTGAACGCGGACGCATATACATGTTATCAAGTTTTAAGATTAACTTAAGTAGTTATGATCTAAATAGGCCGCAATTTTGTTGTTAGATTTGGGCTGAATGTCTCAGCTGAGGGTTTACAATCAGACAAGTTTGATCAAAGCGTAAAATTTTGAGAACATTTTTAGTGCAGTGCTCATGGACAAAAAAAGCCCAGTTTTCCCGCAATACGTTTTTTTACATACATTTTATGACATGTATACACCATGAGACATACTCAGACTACCCTTTTATTAGATTAAAAATTTTTTAAACAAAATATAGACGATTAATAAGTGGTCACAATTATGGCTCTGAAAAAATTATAAGGTACTATAAATTTAATTTTATTGGTAAATGCCGTATGAATTTAAAAACAATTTTTTGATCTAAATCATCAAAATTAGTCTAAGAACTTAAACAACATAAGTTATATCTATATAATAGGCAAAATTTAGTTCTAAAATAGGAAAAAAGTTTTTCAGTCCTTAATATTTAATACCTTGCCTTTTATTTTACTAATGTTTTCATGGTTTCCTTTATGTTAAGCGATGCCATACTTTGCTTTCCAGTTAACTGAGCGTTTTATCAATAAACTCGTGTTTAACTTAAAATAGCAATGAAAAATCATTTGATAAAAAGTGTTTTCAAAAATTTTTTGGTTTCTAATAGTTTAATTAATTGTTTGAATAAGTTTTACACAATTATTAATTAGGTTGTAAAAGGCGTGATCCTCATCGAAGTGAGATCATAACCATTTTGTTAGAATAGTGTAAAATAACTTAGTGCTATTGAATTACTTTTGGTTGATTTTTAAGTTTATCAATAATAGTTTAATAGCCTTATAAAAAAGGATGAACTGGTAATTAGCATTTTCCCTACTAATGATATTATATTTTTTAAAAAAATTTAAATATCTAACAAAATTACCCAACTTTACAAGGAATGAATTTACAAAGCGTAGTCGTTACGCAACATATACATAAGAATTAAATAGTATTATCGAAAAAAAGTTTTGTACTACCATAAAAAAAAATCGTAAAAAAAAAAAAATTCTGCTGCGAGCGAGATTTGAACCCCAGAATGCTCAAAGCAAAATTACACAATGCGGTACTTAGCTACCTTGACTACCAACGCACTCTTTTCTTTAGCACTTACAGTGACACATGTTTATCGTGAAGCTCCAGGGTTTAAGCTTAAGTATTAGTTTATTTTTTCTTTATATTGATAATTGTGTTAAAGTTTGGCCTACAAGTAGAATTATTTTTCTAAATATTTTCACAATTACTTATTCTTATTAGAAAAGTTACATGTGTTGAAGAATGACATTTGAATTACAGAAAAAGTCATTCTCTATTGAATAAACTTAAAAATCAAAGTGAAGCGTGTGTGTATTATTCTGATATTTTTAATGTGCTAAATTTTTATAAATCTATAAAAACATAAATTATTCAAGTTGTAAAAATGATTATTTTATAGATATCAAGTTTCAAGAAGTTACATTAAATATCGGGGCTTACGTTTTTATTACTTAATTTCTTATTTTATACGAGGAAAACTCTGTATTTAGCTGTACAAGTATTTAATACACATTTAATGAGTAATATATGACCGGACATATAATAACTGTCCAACATTTAAAACTGCTTTTGAGGGAACATCACATCAGGAATAGATATAGGTATACGCATGCATGCGAGAGCTGCGAGGTGCGAGAGCCGGGAGCCGAGAGCCGAGGCAGCTAGAATACAAAACATATATAGCTATACCCGTGTATACGCACATATTCCTTCCTCCTCTACTATTCCGCTGCTGAAACGTGCGTATAGTTCGGCTGATTTGCCGCGATGGGGCGCTCAAAACAGTGGAAAAAAGCGACACACTTTCTACCATAGGCGCTGGCAATCTCCCTTCTAATCTCTGTTAATATAGTGGCCAGTTAGCATCCCGGGTCATCGGGTGATTGGAGTTATCGGACCTTAATGTGTACTTTTACATATATAGTTCAATCTGAATTGGTTGTTGGAAACGTTGGAAATGTTTTTTACTGTATTACCGACATTACCGTATGAATCCGAAAATTAATGTATTTAACTAACTCTGCTTAGGCAGAAGCTGTTAGATATGCCTTACTGACGAGCCCACCAACAGCTTCTAGTGAGAGCAATGATACGTTATTATAGCATCAGCAAAATAACCGGATGACACTTTTTAATATTGCAGTTTAAGCGATTTCCAACCTTTAATCCGTTGAAACTAATGCTTTTCATGCATCGAGAACCGAGATATGGGGCGATGAAAAAAAAATTTTTTTTTGCTTGTTAACCGAACTATGGTTAACAGAAAAGTTACACCTAACGTATATCACACAATTTTCGCCAGCCAAAACGTACTGGCTGATTCATAACACGGAGTTATAAAAAAAAAAAAATTGGGTTATTTGAAAAATTTTTTTTAAAATTAATTTCGTGTTTTAAGTCAGCTGGTACGTTTCGGCTGGTGAAAATTGTGTAATACATGTTAATATTACAATTTTCAATTTTCGCGTGTCTTTGGCAATGCCCCTTCACTGCTGTGCTGTCTGCTAGACGGAACATTTTCCCTAGATCGTATAGCTATATATACGATCTAGGGAAAAAGTTCCGATATTGAATCCGCCTAACCCAACCAACGCTGCTTGCACAGTGGACTTGCGGATCAACGTTACTATTGTGAATGGGATAATTGGATACTTAGTACATGGACATCTAAGAAAAATAGACTGCAAGACATTGCTTTTCAGATTTAGACAGTATGAAACATTTCAGATGTTTCCTACATCTGATTCAAAGTGAGGTAAATACTGTCATTAGGGTCCCATTACAGTACTCCATTTCAGTGACACTTTAGAAGGAAGATATACGTATAAAGGATATACTGCTTATTGATAAACCCAAACTAGTGAAATATTGGTATCTGGGCCTACCGCCTACGGCCCATACGGGGTTTACTTCACTAGTTTGGGTTTATCTATAAGCAGTCTATCCTTTGTACGTCTATGTTCCTTCTAATGTGTCACTAAAATGGAGTACTGTAATGGGACCCTAATGACAGTATATAGCTTACTTTGAATCAGATGTAGGAAACATCTGAAATGTTTCATACTGTCTGAATCTGAACAGCAATGTTTTTTACATGCCTGCCTTGTGTACGGTGCTGAAGCACAAGTAGAAGGAGACACATAACATCTGTGGTGAGTATCTGTCTCTCGCACATTCCCACTTTTGGCAATGTGCAACAGAGACAGATATTCACGTTCGATGTTGTGTCTCCTTCCACGTGTGCTTCAGCCCCGTACATAAGAACGAGCAGTCTATTTTTTTTATATGCCTGTGATTTAGTATGGATGTTAAGAAGCAGGTCATTCTTCTTCATAGCCATAACACTAAACGTTGTCTCAAAAGACTTACGAAATCAGTTTTGTAATTGTATCAATATAATGGCCAATAATCTTACAGAGTTGGAAGTTAACATCCTTAAGTGTTTGCATAATATAAGTTGCTGCTTGATATGTTCGTTACGATTCTGTGAAGCAAATTTTATGGACCCGAACTTTTTTTTCAAATCTTTTCTATCAAAGGTTAGAATGCCGCATAAATTTTCAACCTTGTGTATTAATTTTAATATACAATTAGAATGATCACTACTTCATAGATGGATGTAGAGTAAAGAAAACTACCATGTTTACATACGTGTATCTTTGACAAAACGGAATCAATTAATCATACTGGTTTATAATCATACTTAAAATCTAAATGCATTGGCAATAGTTAAAAATTTGATAATAACAAATATTGCATTTGATTTCTACTGGCTGAGGGTTACTATCTGGCCGTCTGATCTTGATATAATTTTATCATGGTTTGAAGTAAGATGGATACCATAATAATAGATTGTAATTTTTAAGAATCAGCTTGTGCTTAAGTATTTTACGCAATTCTCTCGCAGTTGAGTATAAAGTGCAGGTGTCCGATTCTCAAAACTTTTGATGTGCTATGAGAGAAAGTTATATCAGCATTCCTTATAAGCCTTGAGGTGAGAAAATATTTACAAATTGTAAAATAAATTAATTAATTTTTGAAGGCAATGCTGTGTAGCTGAGCCTGTGTATTTGTATATCTATATACACATGCATGTTAACATGCTTTTGGTAATTGGTAATTCTAGTGACGTAACCCATAAGCATGGTGTAAAAAATACATAAGGTGGGCTCTTCAGCCACCGAAATAATCAGCCAATTCGGAGGCTTGGAACAAGCGACCTTCCATATTGGATTTTCCACCAATGAGCGTAGAGAGCGCGTTGTTTAACTGCTGCTACACATAAACAAGAGTAGAGGGTAAAAAATTTCCTTGATAAATAATATGTTGAAAATTTGTTAGGTGCACTGTTTATATGTATAAATATAATTCTATATTATCATCTAATTATTTGTAAAATACACAAACAATCCAGTTTATTAAGTATTTCAATAAACAAATTTTACAAATTTTTTTTTACTTTATATGAGAATTTAACATCAGAAGTCAGTTCTTTTGTTCATCTCTGGCAATCTAATTTACGTTATCATTCGTACGAAGCTCTTAATTTAACAATACTTTTCGAGGTGAGTTGTATTTATTTTCAGCATTAAACTGTAAGTATTTAACCAACGCGCTCTCAACGCTCATTGGTGGAAAATCCAACATGGAAGGTCTCTTGTTCCAAGCCTCCCGATTGGTTGATCGGTTTAGTGGCTGAAAAGCCCACCTTACGTAGTGATAAATAGTACAAAAATTGTAATAACATTATGGTCATAAGCAAGGTGTAATACATACAGAAGGTGGGCTCTTCAGACACCGAACCGATCAGCCAATCAGGAGGCTTGAAACTAGTGGCCTTCCATGTTGGATTTTCCACCAATGAGCGTTGAGAGCGCGTTGATTAACTACTTACACTTTAATGCTGAAAATAAATACAACTCACCTCGAAAAGTAGTGTTAAATTAAGAGCTTTGTACGTACAATAACGTAAATTAGATTGCCAGAGATGAACAAAAAAACTGACTTCTGATGTAAAATTCTCATATAAAGTAAAAAAAAATTTGTAAAATTTGTTTATTGAAATACTTAATAAACTGGATTGTTTGTGTATTTTACAAATAATTAGATGATAATATAGAATTATATTTATACATATAAACAGTGCACCTAACAAATTTTAAACATATTATTTATCGAGGAAATTTTTCACCCTCTACTCTTGTTTATGTGTAGCAGTAGTTAAACAACGCACTCTCTACGCTCATTGGTGGAAAATCCAACATGGAAGGTCGCTTGTTCCAAGCCTCCGAATTGGCTGATTATTTCGGTGGCTGAAGAGCCCACCTTACGTATTTTTTACACCAAGCCCATAAGGTATTTTCATTTCTGACGTCATGCAAAGTGATGAGGGCTGGGGGACAAAGTTTAAATTTACACAATAAGTTTAATCGTAACTATAAAATTTATTGAGATATTCCAGTTACTCGTTTTGATTACAAAAACTTTTCCTTTCTTCGAGCTATCGAATGGGTATTAGACATACGGCATTTTTTCTTTATAAATAAATGAAATCGATAAATAAAGTTGTTACGGGCAAAAAGTATAGCCAGAAAACATTTTTTCAAACCCTTTATAAGCATCTGATCGCACCTGTTTTGCAATATAGCAACAATCGATATTTGATTATGAATCAAAAAATTTTACTGCATGACATAACATCACGTAAATAGCCCCCAAAACTCAGCTCAAGTAAAAAGTGTGGATTGTTTGGTTAGAGGGCAAGTTACTTCTATACCTATTATATATATGGTCTCAGCTCGCGTCAATCGCATCGGCTGCTCTCCGAGACTGTAAGTATATATAGGTATATAAGTAACTCGCACTCTCACCAATCAATCCACACTTTTTAGTTGAGCTGAGTTTTGGGCTATTTACGTGACATTTCATGCAGTAAAATTTGTTAACTAATAAGCAAATATTGATTGTTGCTGTATTGCAAAAAAGGTGCAATCAGATGCTCGTAAAGGGTCTAAAAAAATGTTTTCCGGCTTTACTTTTTACACACGACAACTTTACCCACCTGAAAAAGAAAGACGGAATTCCATGTGTGATTACTTCTGTAATACTTTCAGGAAAGCCATGTGGCATTACATATGGTTTTACGTATGGCATTACATTAGAGGTTTTAGCTTGGTAATGCCATATGAAATTCTATTTGAAAAAACACATAGAATTACAAATTGGAAGAAGGAAAAAAATTTTGTCATCTAGAAATAACTGCAGAATACTGTAATGCGTCATTTACTGTCAACATTTAGTGTTACCATCTGGATGATAACTTGAAAACAATAGAATTCAAGTTACATTTCAGGAATTAAAAAAAAAAAAAATAAAAAATAAAATTTTTTCTTATAGAAGTAAAATTAGCTGAACCCCCTTGTTTTGGAGTTATCATCCCGATGGTAAGACAAGTAGTTCACTGCAAATAACTTATTGTGGTATTTTGCAGTTATTTCTAGATGATGGAATTTTTTTTTTCTAATTAGTAATTCCATGTGTTTTTCCATATGGAATTACATATGGCATTACCAAGCTAAAATCCTTTATGTAATGCCATATGTAAAACCATGTGTAATGCCATATGGCTTTCCTGAAAGTTCTACAGAAGTAATTCTACATAGAATTCAGACATTTTTTTTCAGGTGGGTATCTATTGATTTCACGTATTTATAAGGAAAAAACGTCGTATATCTGATACCCATTCGATAGTTCGTGAAAAGGAGAAGTTTTTGTGATCAAATTAAGTAACTGGAATATCTCAATAAATTTTATAGTCGCGATTAAACTTACTGTGTGTATTTAAACTCTATCCCCCAGCCCTCGCCATTTTGCATGATGACGTCAGAAGTGAAAATATCTTATGGTGATGGGTTAATTTCTTTCCAATGCTACCGAGTAAGCGAAGTTTGCACCGGAGCTATACGCTATGTATTTGAAAATACAAATAATATGAGGCCTAGCTACACCATATTGCGTTCGAAAATTAATTTTTTTATTTTGCAATATGTAAATATATATTTACCTCAAGACTTGCAGAGAATGCTAATGTAACGTTTCTCTCTTACTTTAAACATTTTCCACGTCAAAATTCATGCGACTAGATGGTTAACCGTAACCTTCCTGCTTTTAGGATCAATATCAATTCTATAAAATTGTGTACTAGCGCACAAGTGTAGTGTGTGTATAACTGAATAGAGTGTTATGTTTATAATAATTATTCTTTCTCAAGCAGAAATTTTTTTGTGAGTTTGTAACGAAAACATATTTTATAAAATACTAATAAATAATCAGTTTCATCAAGTCCAAATTTGAGACTGTCATAAAGTTTAATGAGTGTGATTATTTCTGATTTCTTATTATTTTGTTTTCGTCATAAATATCATAAAAACATTGATAAAAGTAGTACCTAGAAGAAACTTTTGTGACTAATTATCAGACTCTAATTGACTAGGAGCACATCTCAGGTGGTGCTGCCAATATCGGACCTCAGTACCAATTTTGCCAGCATAAAAGCATTGAATCTTATGGGAACGGTGCTATTTTAATTGATTACAATTATATTTTCATGTAGTAATTTATGGAATCGATACTTCTTGTACTACATTGGTATACTTTATCGAATTCAAATTATTTTGGAGTGATTACTACATTCTCTTCGTTACATAGTCGATATTAGTTATATAATAGCCAGGCAAGGTTAGTCAGCTCATCAGACGTGCCATACATACAGGTGTTATCAATACGTGCTGTGTACTTAAAGAGCCCCGTGATTCTTGTTTTCTTGTTCTTCTGCCGATTTATTTTATCTTAAATAATTTTTTTCCAATTAACTATTCCAATGTCGTGTAAGAAGTACCAGTTCCATAAAAAATCACATGAAAATAAGATTGTAGTTGATAAAAATAAAACCGTTCCCATAAGATCTAATGCTTTTTTGCTGGAAAAATTGGTACTGAGCTCCGGCATTGGCGATGCTACCTGAAATATGCTCGTAGTCAATACTGAGTGACAGTGTTGGCAAAGAGAATCTTCGCATACCCCCATCGCTATCGGAACTTTCCGTTGGAAAAGTTCCGAAGCCTATCAGAGTAGAGCTACAGCAGGAGTGTAGGGGGGGACTTATTTCTCCTGTGAATAATAACGCAAGCGCCTATCTCTACACAACCCAGGGCACTTTACTGGTCGCTTTATTTATTTATGATTAATAAAATAATAAGGCAAGCGCCTATCCCCACACAATCTGGGGCGCTTACTGGCAGCTTTAATTACGTATGATTAAGAAAATAATAACGCAAGCGCCTATCCCCACATAATCCAGGGCGGTTACTAGCTGCTTTAATTATTTATAATTAATAAAATACTAACGCAAGCGTCTATCCCCACAAGACCCAGGGCACTTGCCGTTTGCTTTATTTATTTATGATTAAAAAAATAATAACGTAAGCGCCTATCCCCACACAACCCGGCGCGTTTACTAGTCGCTTTATTTATTTATAAA